AACCTGGCTGGCTGTCGGCGTCGCCGCGGGCGTTGTCCATTTGAGGCGCAAGGTCGCCTGCCCAGCAGCGACCGCTGTCGGTCTGGGACAACATGTGCTGGTGAGCACCGTGCCCATGTTTTCCGCACCAATCTCGGGCGTCCAAGAAAATGGCCGCCGTTTACAGAGAAGGGAAGCTCGGAGCCGACAACATGTGCTGGTGAGCATTGTACCCATGTTTTCCGAACACATTTCGCGTGTCCAAGAAACTGGCCGCCGCGTTCAAAGATGGGAAGCTCGGGGCTGCAAGCCCCACGGGGCCATGCGGACGCAAGCCCCGTATCGAGGATGCACGCCTCCCAATCGTATGTCCCCGAGGTTGCCCCCGAATCGTTGTGTCGAGCCGAACGCCAGGCGCAGTCCAGGAGGGGGAGGAGGAGGAGAAGGAGGAGGAGGAGGAGGAGGAGGAGGAGGAGGAGGAGGAGGAGGAGGAGGAGGAGGAGGAGGAGGATTGGGGTCCACCCCCCGGTAGACGAGTTGGCGTCCCGCCATCGGCGGAGGCTGGGCCGAGGTGAAGTCGAGGGTGGCCACACTGGCGGAAGGCCAGCGGACGGCCCCGCGGGGCATGCAGGTGACCCCCCCCTCCCCCTCAGGGTTAGGTCGGGCGTGTCCCTCTGCAGGAGGGATAGTCAAGAATAGTCAACAAATAGTCCGAGGCTGTTTTCCCAGTATTGTGGATCATGCTTTAGAGCATGTTTTGACCATGTTTTTGTTTCGTCCAACATCCTTCTGTAGTGGGACACGCCCGACTTAACCCCAAGAGGCTCGGCTACAGTGGAAGCTCATGCCAAGAATACCGTGCTTGCCTCCAGGGTGCCCTGGGTGTCTTGGGTTTCGATCGTTCCGCCATGGAAAAATCGTGACATTTTCCCACACCAAAACACCAATGGACGTCCTGGGGTCTCAGAGTTTGGGGTTCTTGTGGAATGTTTCTGGTGGTCGAGGGGTAGCCGTCCCAATGGCACCGCCCCGTACGGTCGAAGCCGATGGTAAGAATGGGCAGCCGCCCCAAAGGGTACCTTTGCATCCACGCCTCGTTGGTCTATCCTTGAGACTCGTGTCGATGGCCCGCCGCGCTCGAAAAAGCTTCATCAGGGGCGTCCCAGGGGCCTCGCATCCTTATCGCGCATCCTTGCTATCAGTCCTGTCCGTCGAGAAGAAGAGGTTAGATCGGCAGTCGCGGTTCGATCGCACGCCAGGGAAGTTCCAGTTAGGTTGTCGTTGAAGTCGCGTTGAAAGGGGCCCAGGTGGCGCCCGGTGTTACCCAATGGCACCACATGAGAGAGAGGCATTGTGTCCGCCTTGCGCGCTGTATTAGACGCTGTATTGGGCGCCCTGGGGACGACCGACAGTTTCTGTGAGTTGCTTTCTGGAAGAGGACAGCGGAGAGTCAGCATCGTTAAACCCATCCCCATCCCCCCTGGGCCAAGACATCTCAGCCCCACCATCCCACCCCCCAGTTGGAGATTGTTTTCCCTCTCGGCCATGACGCGCGCTATGCCCCACCCCCTCCCGGCCCAATGGAGTAACGCTCCGCCCACTGGCCCTGTGCGCCCCAGCACTGCGGCAGTGCGTTCGGCACTGCAGTCTGTCACGGTTGGGTGGCAGGGGCGCTACGTCATGCCCCCCCCCCGCTCCCCACCCCTTCCCCGGGGACTCCCCCCACCCTCTCCCTTTCCCCCCCCCCCCCCTTCCCCCCCACCGCCTCCCCTTCCCCCCCCATCCCCTTCTCCCCCTTCCCCCTCCCTCCCTTCCCCCCCCCTTCCACCCTTCCCCCCACCCACCCGATAACGCCCGCTAGCGCCGCGAGTCAAAAGAAGGAGGCCCCTCGCAGCCCGAAGGGAACAGCCCAGGTCCCCCTCTGGGCTGGTGAACATAAGCCCGCGGGGTCCAGGCCATGCCAGTGGGGGGGGGAGGTGGCAGGGCTCCCCTGGAATCCCGGCCTCCGTGCTCTGGCTCCTGGGCAGGGGGCGGAGGAGGAGGGGCAGGCGGAGGAGGGAGAGGGAGGAGGGGCAGGAGGAGGAGGAGGAGGAGGAGGAGGAGGAGGAGGAGGAGGAGGAGGAGGGTGGGGGAGGGAATGGGGGAAGGGGTGGGGAGGAAGAGGAGGAGCAGGAGGAGGCGGCCCGAGCGAGCGGAATATCCGACTCGGGTGAGCTGGCCCAGAGGCGCTTCGCGGTGTATCGGCAGCTGAAGCCGAAGCCAAAGCTCAAGTGCACAGAGAAATCGAAAGGGCCCACTCTGCAGGTTTGGTTGACAGCATTCCCTGCGCAGCTGGTTGGTTTGGGTTGTGCTGCAGCCTCCCCTGCGCACAGCCCCTCCCCACAACATCACAGCCAGCACCCTCATGCGTTGCTAAGCTCTGGGCGCGTCCAGCGCCGGCAGCGGCGAAGCGATGCCCGGGAGGAACAGAAGGGAGGAGGAGGAGGAGGAGGAGGAGGAGGATGAGGAGAAGGAGGGCAGA